AGCCTCATTAATTTTTTTTCCATTTTTTTAACAAGGCTATATATTTTAAAAAGGCTTTTTATATATTTAATCTATTTCCTGCCAAGTCTTATCTGGCAATGTTTTAATTATAACACTGCTCTATAGTTTGTCTGGGTGTCTCTCTGCCTAAATGAGAGCATTTTCAGCCTATTGAAGAACAAGCCTGATTTTTGGAAGTGGTCAGACAGATATTTCACATTGGGAAGAGCAGCACATTTTACTGCCTCTCTCTGCTTCCTCGAGGTGTGGGTGATAGCTGACAAAGTGCAGGGCAGCCACAGCCTGAGCTGTGGGACCGTCTGCCACCGGACTGGGGTCCAGCCCCTGGAACCCAAAGGCCTCTCCTGGGATTATGGTATTGGGGTAAGTGCTGGAGGCACAGAACTGCCTGAAGGTGCCCATCCCAGAGAAAGGGAAATGCCATCCTGCCCAGCTGGGCAGCATGGGAAAGCTTGACATATACCTGCAGGAAACTGACATTTTCCTTCAGGTTTATTATATTGAAGTTATAATGGGCTGTGCAGTCATAGCTGAGAAGTTATTTGCATTTGATAAGTATTCATTTTAAATAGGTAATTTAAAAGTTACAATGGAAAAACTAGTGGAGTAAGAGCCATTTAAAAGAAAGTGGATTTCTTTCTGGTTTGCACATGATTATTCCTCATTGTTGTACCCTGTAATATTCTCAATGTTTTGAGAAAAGCTATTTCAAGGTTTTGCCACCTTTTAAGTTGGTGGAACATTTGCAGTGGCTCTGTTATGAATGCCTGACCCTACTAATCTCAATTCCCTGTGATAAAAAACAATCCTTAAGTTTACCACTATAACTCCCTGTCAGGGAGGTCTGCTGTGTTTTGTTTCATTTTCCAAGGAGCCTTTTTTCTGATTCATCCCAGACCAAGATTACTTTGCTCATGAACAAACAGAACAAACTAGCAGTGCACATAAAGCATCACATCACATCCAGCACTGACAGGGTGATGTTTCTCCTTTTGAGTTTCTGTGCCCCTTTTTCACAGGGTGGCTGGGAGCACATTACAGTCAGAGGAAATGCAACAGAAGCATCTCGGGGTGCTGTGCCTGACACCACTGAGGAAAACCCAGCAGCATTGAAGGAGGGAGAAGATGAGGAGAGTAAAGGGAAAACAGAACACTCGAAGATCCCTCTGATGGTCAGTGAAAGTCAAGAATTGGACAGAAATTCTGTTAACTGTTAAATTGTTGCCATCTACGTGTTGCTAACAAGCAGTAGGAAATAGCTGAAAAAGAAACAGATGTCTACTGCTTGGAGAGAAAAACAGGACATTTTTGTGCTACTAATATGTTTGACTGAAGCAGACTTTGCAATGGGGTATTTTAAGTACTGAATCCTTCTAATGCATCTTGTGTAAAATGTGACTTGATAGAGTTCATAGTTTTGTCAAAGCAGGCAAGGTTTTTAACCACAGTGTATTTCTGACCCTTTACCATAGCTGCTACACACCTTGCAAATGTGAATATCTGCACCCATGATCACTACATTTACTTCTTTTTTTTATGCTCCCTACATTTCTCTCATATTCACACATCATGCACGCTGTCCTTGAGATTCATCTTTGAGCACAATGAAAATGTTTCAATTTGAATGAATGCAGGCAAACACAGCTGGTCCTGTTTGTAGAGGCCCTTACACATGCACAGAGCTCTGCTCCTGGGAGGGCTCCACATCTAAGGATGGACTGGGTCAGGCTGTTCTTGCTCCCATCAGCAAATTCAAATTCTGCACAACTCTGCTTAGGCTGCAGTTAGCAGGAAGGGCCAATTTTTGCTGTCTTTTCTCACAGTGTGTTAATCAGGCAGCAGAACTCCTGCTTTCAGGGAGCCCAGTCCTGCTCAGCTCTGAACTGTCACTGCATGTGCTGGGAAATCCTGTTCTGTCTTCAGCTGAACTGAAACTGGGCCAGCTGAGGGACACAGATGCCTTCCTAAGCAGGCTGGAAGGCACCAGACTCTGGGGGCCAGAGTATTCCAGACCATTGCAAATTATGTTCCCCTACTGCAGAAGTTAAGGGAAGGTCTTAAACTGACTTTTCAATGGTAGGAATGCAAAACAACTTTACTGACAGCAGTGGAGTTTGCCAGTGTACACTGATGGCAGTTCAGAATGAAGCTCTGCCCTTCATTTTGAGTCAGTGATTTATTCATCCCTTTTTCCAACATGAAACCACTTTCTATTCTCAAAAAAAAGCTTTTTTTCCTGACTTATTTATCATAATTGGACAGTTTACATTCATTTCTCCTCTGTGTGTGTGACTGTACATGAAGCTATTTTTATATGATGAACAGTTTGGTGTGGTCTCAGTACTGTATTTGTAGAAGTAAATCTTATGTTTGCACGTATTTAAGGAATATATTTGGTATCTAATGCCAAGGAAAGCACTGTTTCCAAGTCCAAATGTGAATGAAGATTGAAGATGCTTTACTGTTACAAAAAGAACCTGTTGATCTTTCCAGAATGTGATTAGTTTATACATACATTGTGGGAGAAGCATAAATCATGTGTTGCATTAATTACCATAATAGGTTTTGCATAACTTGCACAGTATCTTGTCCAAATAAATTACTTTATTACATGTATTTTTAGAGAATTATTAGGATTGTATTTTTCTCTGCATTGTATCAAGATTTTTCCTTCTAATAGTCAGTGTTTACATCTCCAACAATCAACCTGATTGCATACAATAAGCTTTATAATGTACCTTTGCATTTTTCCTTCCATTGCCAAGTTTCACTTACTTTACTGTAAAAAGCTGGGTTTAGGTGAAAAAAAAGTTATAAGTTGTTTATGTTTGAGTACTAAGTATTTGCCTTCTAAAATATTATTTAGAAAATTATTTAATTTAAAAATATAATGTCATTGTTGTGGCTAGTAAAAGTATGGAAAAGTGACTTTAAACTGAAGCAATTTTGAAAAATAAAAGTAATTTATCAGAAAAACATGCTTCTTACAAAATCCCTTTTGACATGTCCAAGAACAAAGCACTTTGTACTTTGCTACACTGTGGAACTACAGCTGGAATTCCATCAAAATGCCTGTGTCCAGAGCCTGACTGTCCCTTGGGGATGGAGTGTTCAGGGGAGGGGTGACTCTCACCTGCCTCCTTGGCTGCTGTATTTATAGCTAGATATGATGTGCCATTCTGGCCTTAATAGTTGAAATGCCTCTGGGTGCAGAAAGTCAAAAATACACTGCCCAAGCATTAAACTCTGTATGTTTAGGAGCAATACCGGCAAAATTGGGTCTTAAAGTGCAATTCTTCATCAACAGCACTGTTAAAATACTGGATTTTAAAACTTGCTGGTTCTCTCTTTCCACCAATGCAGCCAAACAGCAATTCAAACATAACTATCCCACAAAAGCATTCCAGGGATGTTTACTAGCAGGAAACTCAGATAATGACCTTTAAAGAATCCTACAAAAAATTACCATAATCTACAAGTGCTTGGTCATAGCTGTGTGACACACAGAGCCACACTGCACGTTTGCAGTGACCTAGGGTGAGAAATAACCAAATAACATCAACATCTCTTACTTGAGGAGGTTCTGAGGGGACTAACTGGAAGAAAAGGCCTTGGAGTTACTGACCCCTTGTGATCAGTGCACAAATACAGTGAGGATTAATTTACCCACACAGAGCTGCTGGTGAATGGAGTAAGATCCAGCACTGTAATGACAAGTTAAATCTCTAAGACACTCTGCAACTCTTTCATTAACACTTGAGTATGAGAAGGGCTAAATCCTATTTATTTTAATGTGAAAACAGTTCAACAACTAAGAAAATTCCAGTTGAGGCAGGATCCAGTAAGGCAACCACATGTATAAACTGTTGTGCTGTTCTACATCACAGCTATGGATTGCTGTGGTGGAGAAAGATAATTCACATCCCTTACCAGCCTGTGTGGGAACCCTCAGCTTTCACTCTGAATGGCATTGTCATCCCCTCAGCTGTGCTGCAGCAAGCAACAAACACATTCCACACTGCACAGAGCAGCACAAGCCTTTGGTGATGGATATGATAAATCCTTCCTCAGCCCCCATTCCTCCTTGGACACCCTTCTCTGCTGGAAAAGGCTACAAACCATCAATCCTGGTGATGGATGAGGTGCCAAATGTTTCCTGAGCACAGAGCAGCAGCCTCCTGTTCATGGGGCATGTGGGGAGAGGGAGCTGGGGCACGGGGGCTCCATGGGCACCACACTTCCAACTGAGGCCACTCCAGCTTCAGGTGCCCCAGCTATGAGAATACAAGAGGAAAGAGAGTTCCTCAGTGATGTAGAATTTTGTACCACGGAAGGTAAAAAGTTCTATAGAGGGAGGGGGAAAAAAAGAGCTTATTTTCCTTTTTGAAGAGTTTCTGCTTCATTTATTGTTTTACAGTATCAGAATCTAACACTAACCCAGAAAGAACCTGATCACATCACAGGCTTCATTAGGAAGTAATTTAAACTGGCCAGAGCATTGTCTAACTTAAGGCTACATGAAAGCATTTTTATCATTGTCTTGGCAAAAGTAAGTAATTTGTCCCTTATTCATTATTTGTTTTAGAATGGCACCCAGACACCCACTAAAGAAAACCTCTGTGAGGCCAGATGCTCTGGAAGCACAGATCAGAACTGTCCTTACTCTAGAGAGCTTACAATCTAGGAAAGCTTTGCAGATGTTTGCATCAACAGATGTTTTTATGCCTTGCAATGTTCAAGATTACCAGGGCAGATCCACCAAAGTTAAAGATCAAGATGAATATGCAGATTTGGTGACCAATTTCCCCTATGTGCCACTTCAGTCACCAAGTCAGTCAAATGCTGTCATCAATTTTAATCTTCTCTTTAGCACAGCAGATGAGTCATTGAAAGGCTGGTGAACAGAACTACAGCCAAGATTCTCAACTAACTCCAAGGAACTCAGATGACACAGACCTTAAAGGTTCAACTTGCTCTACTCCAGGTGGGATAATTTTCAGAAGTTACTAAATCACATTTTCAAGTCAACTCCAGTGTTACAGGATAGTGTTCCAGACCCTGGCACACCACACAAACACATTCATTATGCTCTGAGAAATTCTGAGGGTTTAAGGTAATTTTTAATGTGACATATAAACTATAGTCACGAGGGTTATCTGTTTGTCTTTTTCAGAAAAGAAAAGGAGAGACTGGAGGCAAAAATAATCTCATTAAACCTCTAGGTAATGACATGTATTATGATGTAAGAAGGAAAAACAATGACAGTAGTATCTGGCAGTTGGTGTTTTGGCTGAAGTTATGAATCTATGTGGAACATTTCTGTAGATTTTCCTCATGGTCATCCTCCCCATGCTGCTGTTGAAAATGCTGGTACAATTTGGATCCCCAGGCTGCCCCCATCCCTTCTACTGCTGGAAAGTGTCCGTTGGACATATTGAGTATAATGGAGGTCAAGGATTTAATGTAGTTTTTGGCCAGAGTGAGAGTCTCTATTTTGGAAAGTTTGTTCTCGGCCCTCACGTGAGGGATGACCTCGCGCAGGGCCTGGAAGGCGTTGTTGAGCTTGTGCATCCTCTGCCTCTCGCGCTCGTTGCTCTCCAGCCTCCTCAGCAGCCTGTCCTTGCTGCTCCAAGCACGCCTGCCTCTGCCTGTGGGGCTCTTGTTGCTCTCCTTGTTCCCCCCATTCCTCCTTTCTTTGCGTCGCAAACATTTCACCAGTTCCTTTTTTCTCATTGCTGGCTCTTCGGAAAACGTTTCTTTGTCAGTGGTTTGCCTTTGTTTCTTTCCTTTTGTTTTAGTCTTCATGTTTTGTTGGATGGATTGGTATTAATTGTCAATGTGCTGTAAAAACATAACACCAATATTCAGCTGGGAGGAGAGTGTGCAGAGGGAACAGAGGGCAAGTGAATGGAACCAGTGAAACAAAGATGCAGTGAATCCCCTACAGGTGAAAAACAGATGCCTCTACCTTCTTAGAAACAGGCCTCAAAGCAGAGAGGTTTTTCCTTTATCATTGGACATAAGAGAAAATGATCTCCAAGTTGATTCAGTCTTTCTGTAGAAAAGTGAACCACAACTCAAAAACCATGCAGAATACAACAATCAGTGAGGTTTGGTTACACATTGCCTCTGTTTGATCTCTTATGCTGCTGTTGTCTCCCAGTTCCTCACTCCCCCACATTATAATAAAGCCATGCACCACTTCCATGTACATGTGCTGGCTTAGGAGGTATTAGACAGACCCTCAGGCTCTTTCTCAAAGTAATTTCTCCTTGAACTCCTGGTAATTGGTTTTTGTAGGTGCAGGTTTCCACTGTGAGAGGAGTCCACTAGAGGGAAACACGGCACACTCTCAGGGAGAAGCTCCGAGCCAGCCACGTGTTTTCAGCTGCAGCATTTCTGTGTTGTGGGCTAGTCCTCAACACACACACAAAAAGCACTTCCCTCTTCCAACAGAAATCCAATAATGGCAGGGCTTAACTGCAGTTGCTGCCCCAGATCAGCAGCAGCAGAGCAGGCTATTTTCCAAGTTACCCAAAAAGACACAGCAATGTTCCTTCCTCTGCATTAGTTGACAGCACTGATATTTTACCTCCCTCAGCCCATATTCTGTGCCCACATTACATCTGAATACAACAGCACCACAGCAACCCTGCCTCTAACACCAACCATCGGTGTTACTAAGAGACATTCCCAAAATATGTTCTTTCCACACTCTTCCAGTTCATGTAGTCATAAAAAGGTTTGGTGTAAACAAAATATGTTTTTATGCCAATACTATTGTGTAGGAGCAGTTTGAGAGTTGGTGAGCCAATAAAAAATGAAGGAAAAAGAACAAAAACCCCTAGCCCCAGATGTGAGACTGTCCCAGTACAACCTCAGCCTTAGCTGGAGCAGGTGGTGCTGTGTCCGGCAGGTCCCGGCTGTGCTGTGGTAAACACCCCCTCCTGTCTTGTTTCTCATTTCTTGAAAGCCACGTTCAGCTGCTGGGCTTGCACACTGACTCAGTTCTCTGCCTGTGAGGACATCCTGGCCATCCCCAGGTTCCTTACTACCAAAGAGGCAACTTTACTAAACAGGACAGGAATTCACAAAGCAGCTGGGTTAGGGTAGCACCCAGGTGATGACAGCTGAAAGACAGCACCAAGCAGCTTGTGTTGTGGGAGCCTAAAAACATGCTGGAGACACACAGGTATCTCCAGAGAGGAAACAGGTCCCAAGGCAAGCACCAGTTTGTTCGGGACACTTGGTGTAAGTCACTTGGCAGAAAAGGCACAGCTACAGAAGAGCACAGAGGAGTGGAAGCTTCCCTGCCCAAGCACAAGAAGCACTGGGGAGTGCTGCTGTTTGGAAGAACACAGCCCACAGGACTTGGTGAAGAGGGGGCTCATAGACACAGCCAGGAGAGAAAGGTTGGAAGATGATCCAAGAGAAGGGAAGCTTCAGCAAACTGTGAGAGCAAAGTAGCCTTTAAAACTGCAGGCTGGGCAAAAGCAAATGGGGTATAATGGGATAACAAGGTACCTAGCTGGCAGGTTTGTTCTTAGACTGCCACTGCTGTAATCTGGAGAATTACCTTAGAGAGCCCCAGCTAAGCTGCTGGGAGTCCCAGGAAGGTGTTATCCATGTGCAAGGAGCAAACAGATTGTGGGGGGATCAGGAGCAACAGACTGGAGTGGTCAAGAGAAACCAGAGAGAGCAGTCAAATACCAACACATTTAACACCCTGTGCAGCCATCTACCAGGGCTGGCATCCCTCTTCTGTGACTTACCACTCCACCCGCTGCCGAGAAGGTGCCCGGGGCCCAAGGGACAACGCGGCAGAGACCCGGGGGAAGCCAGGAACAGCAGCAAGGGCTGCGGGGACAACAGGGAGGGAACGCGGTGCGTGCTCTGAGCGAGGCAGGGTCTGTCAGCAGGAGCGTGCGAGGGGCCCTGGCCCTGCCCCGGCCCGAGGAGCCCCGGGCAGGCGCTGCCCGAGCCCCACAAGCGGAGGCAGCCGCAGGCAGGGCCGGCGCCGTCCCGGACACGTCGCTTTAGCGGCGGGGGCGGGCCCGGCGGGCGGGAGCTCCGGTGCCTCCGCGGGCAGGGACCCGCACTCCCCGCCGAGGGGCCGGGCACGGCCACAGCGCCTCGCTCGCGGCTCCCGCCCGTGCTCGGGCTGTGACAGCGCCGGCGGGGACACGCACGGGGGACACACGGCGTGAGGAGGCGGTGCGGGTGTCACCGACACTGAGGCAGGCTCGGCGCTGTCAGGGCCTCCTCAGCAGGTGGGGTGTCCCCGCTGCAGGAGGACAAGGTCTGTGTCCCAGCTCTGTTCTGCGTGCTGTCACAGCACCCGTGTGACACAGGCCCACAGACACAGCACTGCCCTCTCTTTGAGAACTTGCTGCTCATAAAGATTGCAAGTTCTCAAATTCTTTGATAATAAGTTCTATATAAGGTGACCAATTTAGTGCCATGGGATCTTTTGCATCTGTTCTCATTAATGACCACTGCCTTGGTCAAATTTCAGCCCAGTAGTTATATTTTACCTAATGAAGTGAAGTCATCTTGATATCAGTTTCTCATTCCCAGGTCACAAATGTGCCAGCACTCAACAGCTGCCATGAGAGGTGGGGGCTTCCTCAAGAGCCTCCATCACCACTGCCAGGGCTGCCCCGGGCCATCCCCTCCCTCCCGGGAAGCAGGGAACACCAGCACCCTCCTCTCGTCCTGCCCAGCCTGGAACAGCCACAGCATCTCACCACGGCAGCTCCCAGGGCACACCAGCATTTATTTCATTTATTTACCTGGTGATCTTTGGTCCATTCAGCACATGCACTTGTATAGGAAAACCAAGCAACTCTTCTAGGAAGAAATTCAGTAAACACTGAGAAAACATCATTAACCTGTTTTCTGAAGTTATAAATTTCAAAATCCCCATTATTCCTACAGATGTCTAATTCTATGATTGAAAGCAAAATTCAGTATTCAGAATGACACTGTTTCTGTTTTAATTATTGCTTCTCTACTGACTGTGTACACACTTTACCTGAAATTTTCACAAGGGTGATGATACTGGCAGAATTTAAAGGTGACTACGCTATTTAGCGCGGGCTCATCTGCTGGGACTGTGGCTTTGAACTTTTGGAACTTTCTCAACCTCAGGAGACTAATAAATATATCTTACAGTAGAACTACACTGCTGGGATCTGTTTAAAAATGAACAAACAGACAAAGAGATTATAAATATATAACTGTATTTTATTTTTAATATTAAATATTTTTAAATTACAAGCAGTTTCTTGAATCACACTATGCATGATAATCAATATACAGTAGAAATTACAATTTAAAAATGTACACAATTTAAAGACATTTTGACCTGAAATTTCATTAACTATGATATATTGCCATAAACCTCATACCTGTATTAAATTACAATAGGAAAACCTCATACCTATGATTTTGTTACATAGTTTCTCATTTACAAATAGAATTGAACATTATATATACACACACATCAGTACCATTTATCATTTAAGTTACACCTACATCTGTGCAAGTTCAAACAATTTCATAAACAAAACTAACTGTAAGTCATATTCAAGTTTCTGAAAAACAGGCTGCTGGTATTACAAATACTTATTTTCAATAAGTTTATATGATGTTTGACTCTCCTCTAGATTTCTTCCCATTTTGTACCAAAACCATTAACATGTATGACTTAAAGCTGAAGTAATTTTTTTGAAGTAAATCCATTCTTATTTAAGGCTATTTCTTATAAGGCTAATGTACTTGAATTCCACCTTTCACCAACTCCAACACAAATAGCCAAGTCACTGACACCTGACAATGCTGACATTTTAGGATAGTGCTTAATTGTAAAAAAAAAAAAGTCTTTCTACCAACCAGCCTCCTCATGAAAGATTATTACATAAAAATCTGCTAAAAATACTGATAAAAAGAATGAGGCTTAAATGGCTTTCATTAGTGCATCAACAAGGATATGAAAAAACATTTAAATCTGCTCATTTCCATGAAAATGGCAATTTCCATAAATGCAGTTATACACAGTGTATCTGCAGCTGGGGCATTTGGGAGAGTACAGGTGTTCCCACTGAAACTGGACACACTTGTTGCTCTCTTGGCTTCTCACTACAGATCCTAATGTTCAAACAAACTTCTTTAGGTGGGAAAAATCAGATCTTTTAAATACCTTTAGTAGCCAAATTGAGACAATGCCTTCATTATTCAAACAATCCAGGTATTCTACTAGAGAAGGAATTAAGCTGTAACCAGTCCTCATAATAAACCATTGAAAATAGATACATGTACTTCTAAAATGGAGACCAGGCTTAAGTAGCTAGTGCAAGAAATCACATAGAGTGTAATGAATGATTTGGAACAAATCCCCTCATTATAATGTAACATGTTGGAATTACTGATTCATCTTCATTGTGCCACTTAACTGCCAGGCTGATATTTAAGTATTGCTAGTAGTTGATCAGATCTTTAAGTGTTATTTTTTTACCCCAAAGATAGTTTATATTATTGCAATCCAGCCTACTGGATTACTGAAATTAAAATTTATGTTTAAGTGATCTGAGTTAACTTTAAATATTTATTTCTCTTCATTGTACAGCTAAAAAGGACATTACCTTGCTTAATATCATACACATCTCATTTTGGAAAAATGCTCCTTTGGCAATTCATTAGCAGTGAGTCCATTTGGACAAAGGAGTAAACTTTTACTTCCTGTGTAAGCTTTTCTTTAAACCCGGGTAAGAATAAAAATCTTAGATTTCCATCAAGCAAAGGAAACTCCTGATGTGCAAGATAAACATCTGATTTTCCAGAATTACAAGGAACAAAATGCACAACCAAATGACAACATTCTGGAGCATAAGCTTTTATTTAACCCAGAATTATTTTTTAAATAAAATGATTCAAAATTAAGGCTGAACTCCAGGTCTGACAAGGTTTTCACCACGTAAGGCAGACAAGCCCACACGTTCCCTGCAGACCATTATGGAGTTTCATTCTTACTAGGGTGAAAATTTAAAGACAGATGAGGTACCCTAAATCTAGCTGTATCAAGGAGTGTAATGTTGGAATGATGGAGTTTCTAAGCAATAGTTTGTGCACAAGGTCTATTACCAACATTTTTAAATATTTTCAGTAGCGCACAGCTTCCTTAAACCCTCTACAGTACATACTGTAAGCCTGTATTAAGAACTACTTGACTTTGCCTTCTAAATAATGTTTTGGGAAAGGTCCATAGGAAAACTCAGTTCCTCACTTCATACTGAAGGACAGTTCTGACTAACTCTGAACCTGAGTGCCTCATCAGAAAAAGATATCTCAATTCATTGGCAACTTCAAACAACATTATTAACTAAATCATTCCCTTTTAATCAGTATGGAAGCCATTCTGGTTTAAGGGCTAAATAACATTGGAAAAAAAACAGTTAACATATTCTTGTCATCTTTAAAACATACTTAAAAATCAAAATTAACACAGAGGTATACAAAAAAAGAAAACAAACATCTGAAAATATCTAGTCCTCCCATCTCCATATGATGAAAATTCTCTGGCGACTGGATCTGGACACAGAGCACTTGGATCACCATTACCTCAAGCCCTGCCAAAGCAGCCACTAAAATACAAAGTACTTCACATTTCAGTGCATTTGTATTTTAGTACAAGTAAACAAATACAAAGCCAGGTAAACTGCTTCTATCAGTGTTTCCTACAGATCTGAACTGCATAAGGCATTCCAAGAAGTCAGGGATTTGTTTCTCAAGTGAACTTACTTTGGAGTAATAATTAAGGATATCTTTTTCCAAGCAGTTTAGAGGATTAAATCAGCTAAATGCATGGTAGAGTAGGATGGTTAAACCCCCCACTGTCTTCCCTTCCCTACAGGCTTCAGAGCAAACCTATTGTACTGCAGCCTTTGTTCAGAATGCATTTCAAGATGTACCATGGAGCTCTGCAGACATCTTAAAATGGATCTGGCCCTATAACAGGTGCAGAACTGGGCATTAACCATTAATCAAAATCTTAATTGTCATAATATCACCAAGAGGTAGATTTACCACAGGCCTCTGAATGGAGCCCAGATCTGCAGTCAGCAGAAGAATGAGCTTCAAAATTCACAGAATGTACAACTAAAGGGCCAAGTGTACCCAAATCCAGTCTATTGAAATTAGTCTTTATGTAAGATTCATAAATTCCAGAGTTTTGTACAACCAATTTTCCCTCTTCTTTCTCCAAGGCAGAAATTGTAGTAAAAACTGGAAGGCCCTTAACTTTGATATAGTCAGATGCTATTACAGTTTAAGCAGTCAGTAGGAATTAAGAGACATTATCTCTTTCATCTAAAAATTCCAGAGTATAGCATATATTCTTTTCCAGTTTCCTATAAAACATGAACACTAACAACCATTCTATAACCATTATCATTTTAGAAATGGTACTGAATATAAGATTTCAGCAAGTCTAACATAATACTCAGAAGTTATGTACGTTTTACGAGTACCGTGCATAGCAAAAGGCTACAAAAAGGACAAATTAAACTGGATAACTGGGCCAATTCAACTTGTCTTGTTTTCCTTGAAAGATCTAAGATTTTGATTCTGTACATCATCAGGAAATAAAGGAAGAATAATCCATAGTGCAATTGTAATAAGCAAAGTAATATGTAGTGATATCTTTTTGAATAAATATGGCTCACTACTGATC